CAAAGTCAGCAATGACAACGTGGCAGAGAATGATTTGTTCAGGAAGACAAAAGTAATCGAAGGTTCGGATCTCAATTCCCAGTCACGTGCCATCCGACCCCACCTCACTTGCTCGGTACTCTTTTCTGACCAGAGAACATAGCTGGAGTTGGGCGAGCTTTGATTCGCTGTTGTGGGCTCCACGAGCGATATGGCGAATCTTCTTCCTGCCACGTTGGCAAAACCTTGTGCAACCGACGGTTTTTGACCATGCGAAATGGATCCCACATTCAACAGTTCTCTTGGTTGCACGCACGATGCACATGACCATACCACCACACACCCGCTCCGTTGATTGCGCGAGTGTCGCCACCTCGAGGTCGATCGCTTCTGATTTTGTCTATGGCATATAAATCTATAATTTTAAATATGGACGATAAAATAAAAAAATAAAAAATTTAATTTAAATTTTTAATAAAATTATATATAAACTTTATAAAATTAAATAATATATTTCATATTTAATATATTAATATAAATTATAATATAAAATTTTTTATTTTTTAAATATATTTAATATAAAATAAATACGATATAAATTTATGAACGATCACACGTATCAATCAATGAATGAGATTACATTCATTGCAAAGGACATATTAGTTGTGGAAACATAGGAAGGTTACCCTGTCTTTTCCTTCATCAACTCCATGTGTATGTGACAACAAATTCCCAATTGAAAAAGATTTTTTTTCTTAGTAAATTGACTACGATTTTTATATATTTTGATAAAAATAATTAAAAATAAATGTTGTCAGTAGCACTATCACACCATGGGAGCATCAGCTGTATTATATCATTCGATGTCGTTTTACGCGTGATCAAACATCTAATTGGCATAAAAAAAAAATTCTAATTGGCGATAAGGCGTCGGCAATTAGTGAGTCAAAATTTACTGGTCCAAATAGAGGGGATTTGCTATTAATTAAAGCTATGTTAGGTAATGTTGAGGAATATTATCACCATATGTTGGTTTAAATGATAAAAAGTTTATTATTGTTGTTTTAATTTTGATTTGGTAAAAGATCGTTAAAAATTTTTTTTTTAAAATTTGTTAGATTTAATATAAATAAATTTATTTGAATTGATTCAAAAAAATATACTAAGAGAATCTTAAAAATTTTTATCATTACCAAAAATTAAGGAATATCATAGTGTTATTTTTTAAGTTTGATTTGTAATTGAAAACTTGGGAAATATTCAATCAAGGAATGGTCACTCAGTTTAGGGCACAAAGCCATGTGCTTTCCCCATAGGTTTTGGATACAATAGTTAGCCTTATTTTTTTCCCCCTTACCCACACATGAAAGATTATGGAGGGGATGGACTTTCCATTATTTTGTATATTAAGAAATGTTAGATAAAAAAATTTTTACTTGGGCAACATGGTGGTGTGATTTTTTTTTACTTTTTTTATTGCACAAGATTTTTTAGTTCATTTCCCTGCAAAAATGCAAAATTAAATACCTCCATACAATATCCTTGTCCCAAAAAATATATATATATATAATTATATTGCCCCCCTCCCCCCCCCCCAAAAAAAAAAAACAAAAATCATTGGTTCAATGGTAAAAAAAATAGTAATTAAAAATGAATTTATTATAAATATTTGTTTGAAAAATGAACAATTTAATTATGCCAATATATATGTATACATTTTGTACTTATAATACATAAATTATTTTACTTACACATGTCAAAAATTAAGGCAATTTTATAAATACATGGCCCCAACACATTTTGCTAATCATAATCTATTTGTTGCAAAATGAAAGGCATAACACGTTTTCTCCTCTTGTCTTTAAAGGGAAGAAATTGTTTGCTTATCATGGTTTTATGAGAATGCTATGTTAACGTTTAATTGTATTAAAATGTGTGTCACACATTAATAATTAATTGTAAATAAGAAAAGCACCATTTCAAATAAAAAATTGATTAAGATATAAAAATTCCAAAAAAAAAAAAATTTAAGAGATTTGGCTAAGACTTCCAAAAGTATTTATGGTCTATCACATCATTTAGCAAAGGAAAAAAACACTTTATTTTTCTGTAGCCATTGATGAATTAAGCAACAAACCAAAAATTTCCAATCTAGGACCTAACTTTTTCAATAAAATGGGATTCCACCGATAGTCTATAGAATTATATTGATATATTTTTTCTTTCATTCCCATAGTTTTGAAGAGGAACCCATTGTTTGACTATGGAAACAATCCAATTTTTTTAGTGCATAAAGCCTAACCTCTCCTACTTGACAAATCCAAAAAATTAAATAGATTTCACCCTAACTGTACTTTTTGAAAGAAGGGAAGAAGTCTTTTGGAGGGTAGTGATTCCAAGAGTAAAACCCAAGTTAGTTAAAAAAAAAAAAAAAAAACAAAGTCCTTTTTAAAAAAATATTAGTAAATTTTTCAAAAGAAAAAAGAGAGATAGAAGGAATTGATCCAAAGAGTACAATTCAAGTTAGTTAAAAGAGAGTGAAAAGAGAAGGGCTATGAATTTAAATTTAATTTAATTTAATTAATTTATATAATTATTTTTAAAGGTGACTTAAATATTTAATAAATTTAAAAATTAAATCTTAATATTTATAATTCTATTTCATATTTTCATATTACAATATTCTTTATATATAAAAAAAAAACTAGGGTTTTAGACTTTGAGTGAGTGAGGTTCATCATTTCTCTAGAGGCTAAAATCCCCAAACATATTTATGTTATGCAGTTACTTTTATTAACCTTTTCCTCATATTTTAAAATAACCAACACTTTTATTATTTTTTTATGTGTAAAAATCTTCTTTTATATATTTGTAATCCTAAATTTACTATCCTTATTTGCTGGTAATGATCTTTCCAATTTTGGACAACCTGTGGCTCCCATCCATAAGGTAGGAAGAAAAAAATAAATTAATTTCCATTAGGTGTTGTAGGGTATTATCGTAAAATAATAGGCAAATCCCAGCCAGGAACAACAAGCTGCCTCTTTTACATAGATTATCCTTCTTAATTACATAAAGTGGAAAAAACTTTAGTAAAGATTTTTTTTTTTAATGAAGCACACCTGTTAAGTATTATTAATGTATATTTTATATAAATGAGATCGTAATTTAAAAATAAAAAATATAAATATTAAGATTTAAAATTTAAATATATTAAATCTCATCTTTTCAATTATATAGGTGAGAAGAGTGAACAAATTGATTTAACCCTAATCTCTATTAGCTTAACTTATCTAATAAAAATATTAATTACATATTTAAATTTTTTCGAATTCATAATTTTTTTGATATATCATCCAAACTAATATTTGGTTGAGAATTGTATTTTCATTTTGCAATTAAGTAGTTAAAAAAATATTAAGGCTTATTCAGCTCTAATTATCTCCATGAAATGTATTGCAAAATTAAATACATATTGTATATTAATTTGAAATAAAATCAAAATTTAATGCCACTGAATTCTTATGCCATCACCTCAATCAATTTTATATTTATTCGAATTGGTTAGACAATATGTATAAAACATAATATCAAACACAAATGCATTAAAAGTGATACTATCAATGGAGCCAAATTGGAAAGCTAACGAAGCTTCTTTTCCCAATATCACAATCTTTAGTTTTAGTGTACTTGATAATTTTAAATATGATACAAAAATAATAAAAAAAATTTATATACGTTTAGTGTAATTATGTTTTGTCTCTTAATCGTATCAACACGATTAAAAAATAACATTATTTGTATCGTATTTGTGTGAAACAATAATAACACGTTTAAAATATAATACTATTCATAACATAAATTTTTTTTTAAAATTATTTTAATTTATTTAAGAAATAAATCAATAATTGTATTTATTGTATAATTTATTTAAATACTAATTTAAATGATATTTTTGTTTAAATAAATGAATTAATGGTGTTTAATTATGTTATTTGTATATAATTATGTCATGTTATGTCGTATTATTTGATATAAATTAATTTTAAATATATTAATCGTATTGTATTATGTATAATATGTATAATAAAAATGTTATATTCGTATTTCAGTTATTCGTGTAATTTAAATTATTAATATTAAGGTTATTTATGTTATGTTTAACACGAAATATGATACGATGACATGAATTATCATATTTAAGTTTTAGTGTTAAAATGTCATGATTCAATAATGATATTAATTTTTAATCTTAAATATATCAAAATTTCATTAATTATATTTGTGTATATGTATGTATACAATATAAAAGATTGATATGATCAATTAGAATCTCTATTTAAAGTTTGAAGTTACATATTTTTCGTATTTATAACATCAATTCAGTTTAAGTGACAACTTTCAATGTTACGGTATTTTCTTAATTTCAATTATAAGAAAAAATTACTTACAAGCAGAAGAGTTCATTTTTCCTATCAATCATGATTTAATCTTTGTGTGAATCATTTTTTAGAGAAATTTTATATACATAATGTCAATGTGAGAAGATGAACTCTTAAAATTGTTCAAAAAAATTAATTTAAATTAAACATGATGATATCTCTAATTATATTATTAAAGAATAAATAAATAAATCACAGAAATGAAAAATTTTTTGTAATGCAACACTAATTATAATATTATTATTATTATTTTTTAAAAGTAAGGCAAACCGCGTTGGCTTATTTGACAAAAAAAAAGGGCCATTTTTTTGAAAAATGGTTAGTGAGTAATAATATTTTAATTTTGTTTATAAAATTTTAAAAAATAAACTTTTGATACACTATTAAATGAATTTTTAATTTTTAAAAATAAAATTAAAAGATTGATTTATTTTTTTTTTTTAATTAAATTAATATATATCATCATATTAATTTTTACTTGTAAAATTTAAAAACTCTACTACAAATAAATGAAATAGTTTCCTTTAAAAACCCCAACTTTTAGTGTCAAAAACCCAATCTTTAGAAAATTTTTTTTTGTTTTACCATGAACTTTTAAGAGTTTCAAAATCCTTGGGTAGAAAAAGAAATTTAAAAACTTGAAAAAAAGAAAAATTCAGGAGAAGAATAGAGAGGTGGGATCCATGGGGTAATTAGGGAGAGCAGACTTCAACATCAAGACAAAGGAGCAGCGTAAATGACAGCTAGCAATGAAGGAGGAGGCTCACCTGCCATAAACCCTTCAATCCCTTCCCTCTTCTTTTTAGCCTTTGTTTCCTTCCTTTCTCTCCTTTTAAAACTTTCCCATTTCCCTTCATTTCTTCAGTCTTCTTATTCAAGGTACTGTTTCAAATCCCATTGCCTTTGCTCCTACTTGAACAAAGATAAACTGGGTTTTTAGGTTGTTTGATTGCTAGGTACCTCAAAATTCGTTCTTTTGGTGGTTTTCGAACTTGGGTTTTTGGTGGGGAGATTATTTTCTTGGAATTCTGAATTAATTTTGTTTTTCTTTGGGCGGGAATTGTAGTTTTTTGACCTCAAGTTTAGCATTTTCAGTGAGTTGTTTTTCTTCTTTGGACATTTGGATTGGTGTTACATTGAAAATTTTAGTGTCGGCAGAGAGTAAGATATAGAATTATGGGTTCAAGAAGCATTTGTTTAAATCTTTTCATCAAGAATACTCTGTTTGGTAGTAAGAAAGTGGAGGAAATGAGAAGGATTGAATTGAATTTGAGAATAAAGTTTTGATTATTTCAGTCATTGCCAATCTCAATTATGAACTAAAAAGCCAACTTCTCAATTTTTTCCACTCTGTTTTTTACCGAATTGGGTTCTCATTTTGTCTTATCAATTAAGCAAAAGGAAATCATAGTTCTCAAAATTCAATTCCTTTTTCGTTTACTTTTCTTAGGGAACAAGGACGGTAACGTAAAGAAAGTGGAATTAATATGATTATTGTTGGTTTTCATTTTGGTTTTTCTCAAACACTGAAAATAGGAAGCTTCTGCTGCATTTGATTCAATGAATTTCACTGTTTCAGCTACCAAAGTAATTTGTATACTAATAAGTTCAATTTTGTTAACTTTTGTTGCAGGTTTCTCAAGAAAATTCTCTTCATTTTCCTGGAATTATCTTTATTTCCAGAAAATTTTGCTCACTTATCAGTGACAAAGGTTTTGCTTCAAAATCCCTCAAACTTTTTTTTTATTCCTCAAATTTTGAAATAGAAGACATTCACATGCAAAAATAATGATAATTTTAGATTTTTTGCAGGTTTTGTAAATTATTAGTATAATTAAAACATGATTGGATCAACAAACTTCATTGATGAGATAGATTGCGGCAGCTTCTTCGACCACATAGATGACCTCCTCGACTTTCCTAATGGGGATGTGGAAGCTGGCTTATCCGCCCCCGACTCTGCCATCAACGCTGCCGCTTTTCCTAGCATTTGGACCACTCATTCCGAGTCATTGCCTGGTTCTGACTCTGTTTTCTCCAACAACAATGTTTCCGACCTCTCCGCAGAACTCTCTGTTCCGGTTAGTGTAGTGTTTTTCATGTTGGAGAAATGTTTCCGAATTCCTGTCGATTAAAAAATATATTGTCCTGTCTATTATTGACTATGATTACAGTTGGATGATTAAAGCTTTGGGCAATTTTGTTTTTGCAGTATGAAGACATTGTTCAATTGGAATGGTTGTCAAACTTTGTTGAAGATTCTCATTGTGGAGCAAGCTTGACAGTTAAGAAAGAAGAGTCCTTTTCAATCAATAAGGACTCATCCCATCCTCAATTCCAGATTTCCAGTCCGGTTTCTGTTCTTGAAAGCAGCAGCTCTTGCTCAGGAGAGAAAACATTGCTGTGCAGTCCTGAAACGGCTGCCCCTGGAAGGCATGGACGTGCACGTAGCAAACGTCCACGCCCTGCCACCTTCAATCCCCGTTCAGCGGTCCAGCTTATCTCCCCTACATCATCTGTCAATGAGAATGACATTCCTCAGCAGTTTGTTGTCCCCAAGGTGCCTTCAGACTCTGAGAACTATGCCGAGTCCCAGCCTTTGATCAAAATACCTGGGCAAGTTAATCCAGAACATAAGAAGAAAAAAAAGATGAAGTTGTCACTTCCAGCTGCCCCTGCTGTTAATATTCAAAATCCTTCAGGACAAGCAGTTAGGAAATGTATGCATTGTGAGCTAACAAGGACACCACAATGGAGGGCAGGGCCGATGGGGCCGAAAACCCTTTGCAATGCTTGCGGCGTGCGCTACAAGTCTGGGAGGCTCTTCCCAGAATACCGTCCTGCAGCAAGTCCAACATTTGTTCCATCATTGCACTCAAATTCTCACAAGAAAGTGCTAGAGATGAGAACCAAAAGTGGTGCAGCACCACCCACCACAACAATGGTTACTGCCGATTCACCAGAGCTGATTCCAAATAAATGCAATCCAGCATTAAATTATATATGAGGGAGGGTGTTGAGAATTGTGAAATCCCATGTTGGGATAATCTTTCTCCTCTCTATTTTCCTCTCTTTTTTTCCATTTTATTTTGTTATTCTCTTACTGTTATTTTATCTCTTTGTTCATTTGTTTTTTGTACAGGGTTGGAAGGGGGGGGGGGGGGAGGAACCATAGATGATCAATATTTTACATAGTAGGGAGGGTTTGTAATGAGAAAACTGAGGACAAAAAGGTAGAGAAAATGAAAGCTTAAGGGTTAGCAGAGTTGTAGGTTTTAGTGATCAGTAGATCCTTAAAAAGGTCACTAGTTATTGGAGTCTATTGTTTTTTTTTTCTCTTTTCCTTCCTCTTCATGGGAATTCTTTTTGCAGTTCATTTGTTAGTAGTAATCAAATTTCTGAGATGAGTAATGGAATTTAAGAAATTGTTAATTTTAGTTGAATTTCTCCAATCTTTCCTTCAATTCCACACATTCCACCATTCAAAATTTCCACTTTCATGATGCTAATTTTTTTCTTCTTTCTTCATTGGCAATGAAACATTCAGCTCTCTCCAATTGCTGCCATGAACATTGCCTATTTTGATATTTGGAATTCTAGCAAGCTTGCTAATGGTAATTGAACTTCTAGAGATTGCCCATTTTGAGGAAAATATTTGAAGAGACATGGACAAGTTGTTCCAAGTTTGAGAGGAGACTTCATCAAAAATCAGAAACCAAGAGGATAAGTCATTAAAAGAAAATGAATGGTTTTATGTCACACTTTACAATCTTGAATTTCAAGCAAAAGTAGGCATGCCATAGATATCATGGTTGCTGAACCAAATTGAGCAAAAATCCCTTATGACTCAAGAAATGTAGGAACTTTTGTTCTAAAAAACAAATCCCTAAAAAACTTCAACCTTTTTAACTTTTATTCTTTGAATCGAAGTTAAGAGAATTTGAATTTTGGTTATCGAAATTAAAAGTCTAATACTCTATCAACAACTCATGCACCTATTGGTAACTTTTTAGCTAATTTGGTTAGATACTCAAAATCAAATGTAATCATGGGTAAGGTTGTTAATGAAGCATTTGGCAATGTGTTCCAATCCTCCTAATCTGACTCAACTCTACCAAACTTTTGAGGGAAAAAAAGTTTTCAACTTCATTACAGGTCATGATTAGTATTAGAAAGCATAAAAGAAAATTGAAAGTAAAATCAATCAAGAGCAGTTACTTATTCTAAAGCTGATTTGGACTTTCTAATCATATGGTTTAAGTCATGCTTGATTTTGAACAATTTTTTAATGGTGACAATTGATAGGACAACATACCACTAAGGTGAGAATTGTGTCAAACTCTTTGTCAATTCTATCACCAACCAGAAAAATTGCCTGAACAACCTGAATATTTTTTCCATCAAACTAATCCAAGCTGGAATTTCTTGAGAGAACGATCGATTGTAGCTTAGCCCTGTCTTATAGCTTTAGCCTTTTAAGCTTCGTTCGTTAGTTCGATTCTTGCTGCGTTCAAGTATCATTTTGACATTAAATTCATATCGGACAATTTATTAATTTTAATACAATAATTTTGATAAATTTATTTATTTATTTTTATTTTAACAAAATTTTGGTGAATATCTTAACAAAATTTTAATTCCCTGATTTCAAGTTCATGGCAAAATATTTTATATTTGGTGTATGATGTTCATGTTTGGAGATTTTCCCTAAAGCTTGCAAACAGAAATTTTTTAACTTTTAGGACCAACAAAGCTTTTTAACTAATTGTAAATTTAGGTAACATGATTTTGTTGAATTAAAAGAATTTTAGCTTAATTTCATATTAGTTCAAGAGCCTTTAAATAGAATATTAAGTAAAGATTTGAATTAAATATAGTATTTTTTTAAAGAAATGATCCTATTAATGGGTATTTATAAACACTTGTTAAAATTGACAGGGTAATATAATTTGATACTTTAGGTTTCCATATTAATTGATATTTAATAAGCATTTGTTAACGTTGTCTACATGAACTTATAGATTGATTGGAATTAAAAAATTTAACAATCAACAAATGCTTATAAAATATTTTTTATAAGCATTGTTAAGGATAATTTTTTAGTAGAATTTTACACAAATAAAATATTTAACAAATTTTTCATAAATAAATTTAATTTTTATTTTTTTATGTTCGTTTATTAAGTTTAACAAGTAATCACAAATGATATTTTAAGATCTATTAATTAAACAAACAAATCATGAATATAATAAAATTTATTCATATTTGGTTCATTCATAATGTAAAAATGTAACAAAAAAAATCAATAAATAATTCATGAACTTATTTAATTTTTATTTATTTATTAAATTTTAAAAATAATTAAAATAAAATTTCAAAATTTATTAATTAAACAAATAAATCACATACATGATAAAATTCATTCATTTTGATTCATTTAACACTCTCTTTTTGAGAAGTTAAGTTGTGGCCCAAAAAAATTGTTTAAATAGATCCCCATGTCAAGCACATTGCCCCAAATTGGGTCGAACTATTGATGATTGAGTTGGCAAATTTGGACCATAACTCAAAGTCCAAGCGAAGGTTGAGCCTAATCTTAAAAACTCTATTCCAAGTTGACAAAAATATATTTAAAAACTTGTGGATAATTAAACCAATGACAATTGGGTCAATCCACTTAAAAGCTTCTATGGCTATAGAATTTCCAGAGAGTTTATCCCTTGTTAACTTAATGCTGCTACAAGGTTTAATACAAAATGATAAGAGGCCAATTGATGCAAAGCTTTCTATTTAATATTAACATCACTGATAGTTTACAAGCAATATTGAGTGAGAGAAGGTCTTATAATTGCAAAATTATTCAACAGTTTATTTTCTACTTGAACATTGGATGAAAATTTCCATATTTCATACCATTTCTTTACAAAATTAAAAATTTTGACCCAGTATGATGGTCAATGTATAGTACTAATAATAATTGTATTGCACTAGTAGAATATAGGACTGAAAAATAAAATAAAAAGTTAATTTGAAATTATAATGTTTAATTTAAATTTGATCCGAAGTATATTAGAATTTCGAAAACAAATATTTCAACTAAGAAGTTTGTTATCTCCATTCATCTTTTGAAGATTGGGAGGAAATTTCCAAGTTCATATTATTTTTTGGTAAAATTTAAAAATTTTGATGGAATATAATGGCAATGTATATATAACTAGCAAAAGGACAATTTTTTTTTAAATTTAATAATTATTTATATTATTTATATTTTATTATAATTAATTAAGTTTTATTTTTTATTTCGGAATAACTAAATTTTTAAATATTTATTTTTATTCAATATAATCTTTTAAAATCTATTTTTACTTTAATTAAACAAAAATTAATATTAACGGTTAATTAATTTCTCTATAATAAAAACTCAAATAATAAAAATAAATATTTAAAAATTAAATTAATTATAATAAAAAATAAATATTAGAATAATTATTAAATTAAAAATTTTTTTTTTAACCCTTTAGCTTAATATGATACTATCAATAATTGTATTATATGTAGTGGAAGAGCGTCAGATTCGGCACCAAACACAACAAGGCCCCTCTCGGCCCTCTTTACTGAGACAAATTTTAAGCGCAAAAAATAATTTTAAAAAAATAATTTTCATATTTTTATGGGTTTGTTTGGTGAAAAATTAATTGATCAATGAAAAATAACCTATTAATCAATGAGAAATAAAATTATTTTTTTAAAAATTATTTTATGGATTTGAAAAGTGAAAAATATTTTTTGAAAAAGAGTTGTTTATAAGTATAATTATTTATTAATATTTTTCTGTATAATTTTACTTATAAATAATGTTATATTAATAAATAATTTTATATTATAATATATATTAATAAATAATATTATATTAATAAACAATATACTATTAATAGATAATATTAATAAAAAATATTATAATATATTAAGATTAATAAATAAAATTATATTAATAAATCATATATTAATAAATAATATACTACTAATATAATATATTAATTAATATCATTAATAAATAATATTATAATATATTAATAAGTAATATAAAGAATAATAAATAGTTTTATTTTAAATATTTTTATATTAACATAATATTTTAATATTAAATATTATTATTAAAATATAATTAGTTTTTAATATTAATAATTTTAATAATAATTTTTTTAATATTTTAATAATTATATTAATATTATTTAAAAAAACAGATTTTTCAAAAAAGAACCAAATAATAAAAAATATTTTTTATTAACTCATCCAAATAACAAAAAAATTATTTTAATTTAAATATTATAAATATTTTTTAAAAATCATTTTTTAAAAATTATTTCTTACGAAACAAACAGAATTTTCTTTTTTCAAAATTTTACTTTTGCATGGGTCATTTCTCTCCTAACGTTCTCCAATACTTTTCTTATTCCAATCAAATTAAAAATTATATATAATGTTTTATTATAATTATAAACTTTATTAATTATTTATAAAAAATCCATAAATAAATTAATTTAAAGGTACACATTACAATTTGAAAATCAAAGTCTGGTTGATAAACATTTATATAATTTTATTTGATAGAATTATTGTTTAGATTTAAAAAAAAAAAGTTCTAAACTAAGAAGTTTCATTGGAATTTCATGATTCACTCCTCTGTTCATCGATCTTTTGATAAATTTTATGTTGTTATTTTCTACATTGAAGATTGGGTGAAAATTTTCATATGCTATACTATTTCTTTACAAAAATTAAAATTAACTATTGTTGCCATCGGTATGTAACTTAATTAAAATTTAAATATAGACACCTTTAATTAAAAAAATGCTATCCTCACTCAAATAATTTTGATTTGTTCAAATCTATGTATGCATTGGCCATCATACTTAGGCAAAATTTTCATTTTTCAAATCTATTTATTTCATTTTTCAAATTTTATTATGCATGAATTTGATTCAATTTTATATTAAACTTATTTAATTATGAATTAATTTATTAGTTAATTTGTTTGCTTTAATCATATAATAATAAATATATTTATGAATTTGTTTTTAATAATTAATAATATATATTTTTAATTTTTTTAAATGAATTTAAAAATTGTAATTTTTTATTTTTAATTAATTTCTTATTTTATAAATATATCTTAAATATATTTATTACTTTATTAATTTATTTATGCAATTTAAATTTTATACTAAATATCTTTTTTTTAAATAGATTATAATATTTTGATATTAATATTCTCCTTGAAAATTGCATGTTTTACACTACCTTAAAAAAAGTTTTTGAGTGTGAGGGCCAGTGAGTGAATAGTACTTATAATGTAATTAGTGCAAGATTGAATGAATTTTGCACAAAAGCAAAAAAGAGGCCCTCTCCTTTATCTGCTTATGAATATTTATTGGATCATTTTAAATGTATGATCCATAATTATTTATTTTAAATTATTAAATATAATACATGTTATTTTAATTTAAAAAATTGAATAATTCATTTATTTTAAATTTTTTTAACAAAAAAATTATTGTTGGGAAAAAATATTCAAAGTTACTTTTATTTTGTTAGAAAAATGGGGTCCAGTCCCATGTCAGTAGTTTTGGACCAAGTAAAGGTCATGGGCCTTGATCTTTTATTTTACATAGAGTCCTAGCTACTTAATAAAAAAGAGGTGGGGTTGTTTTATGTGTGTGTCGAAAACCAAGCAGAGAAAGAAGAAAAGCCAGGAAAAGCAGAGAGAGAAAAAAGAGAAGGGAGAGTTGGGTGAACGGAAGTCAATCCGTGGTCCGATTGAGTTGGAACCTTGTCAGGAGGTTTATGATTCAGAGTTCTACATTCTGAACGGTGAAGATCGGGTTTGAAGCTCTCTAGGAACAAATCCAGGGTGTATTTGTTGAGTCACTTATTTGGTGAGATTTCTCCAATTGTTTC